CTTTGTACAGTAATATCAGGAAATAAAATTGTGAGATGTTTTGCCATCTATATGTGGTGATGGGTAATTTTTCATTTAATGAATCTATTAATGTTTTGAACTGATTTATGGAAGCTCTTAATTGGCTATAAGAAATTCATAAAAGAAACAGGCTTTTGAATAGGTTTACTTTTGTTCCAAATGGAATAGTACATTTTTTAAAAAATTGTGTACTAAGAATATGCCTAGTAGTCAATTTAAGTGACAACTATAGGCATGAGTATTCGTTATTTTTTGTATAAAGCTTTGCCCCGTATTTTAAATCAAGGACTATAGAAAAATCCCAATCCTTTTACTAATAAGATAATGGCTTTGGTACATTTTAATATATTTTTATTTTAATATTTTATTGTGATGCATGAATTGATATATTGGTATTGAAAGCCGCAATGACTAGGCATTAGAAGGATGGACTAACATTTTAATGTAGTACATTTACAAATTTAATTAACATTTTAAATTTTCTATCTTATTCACTGAAACCAATTATTCATCGCCTCCATTGAAACAGAAGGATTTTAGCTAAAACCCAAATAACAACAAGAAGCAAATATGACGGCAGAGGCAGCAATATCACTGATTTCCAAGCTCTTTAGAAAACCAGTCACATAATTTTTCTATGGTTCGGCCTTACTAAAGAGAAAGGACCTATGCTGGATAGGTATATTGGCTACTTTCATCACTAATGTACCTTACCTCCACTTGCAAATAATTTATAAATATTAATTCACAATATTTTTAATTTTGCATTAAAGTTATGCCAAAATGAAGTTTTTTTAAAACATTAGATTATTTCCTGGGGTATAAAAGAAAGGGAAGTCAAATACTTAAGAAAGAACAGAACTTTGACTGAAATTCTAGGAAGAGTTATGGAGGTTTCCTCTAGCTTGACTGGCACCATGATCAAAATATGAGCAATCTTGCATTATTTTATACAAAAGCAGTTCCATTGTATTCAGTTGGGTTTGATTTCAAATCAGTGTTTATAGGATCTGATTTATTGTTGACAATGTTTATCAGGACATAACAAGTTAATGTGTAGTTAAAAGTAAGATTTCATGCCATGGTTGGTTTCTAATATTTCACTTGTTTTCAACATAATTGAAACATACCATCTTCTGCCCAAAGACTTTTTAATACATGTATCATTTGTAGAGTGTTAACAAGGAAATAAAAATCTAAAAAAAGCAAACATCCAATATCCATAATCAATTAACTTTTTCACACAGCAAAAAGACATCTTGTAAGAATGCTAAATGGGAAAACAATCTTAATTAAATGAATATAACAGATTTTACACATTTATTCTAAGTGTTGATTTGCTCACACCTTACATTTCCTTCCAATTTGCCTGTATAGGGGATTAGTCAAAAACATGATACTTGATTATGTGCATCTCTTTAACACAATCTTATAGTTTCTGTTAAAAATACTTCACTTAAGAAAACATGTATTATAAATTTCGAAAAGAATTTGAATATACATAAACAGAAAGGGAAAAGGAGATCTGGGCTTCATCTTACATTTAATGCAGCTTTTTGTTCCTTTAACAAAGAAATATGGCTAATATGTTGATAGCTTTGCCTTCCATAAACACTCCACCCTGAGAGAGGGGAGGGAGAGTGGGGAGAGGGAGGGAGGGAGAGGGAGAAAGAGTATGAGATGGTAGTTTTTCACTGCAAGTGTGATAGTATAAATTAGTGCTTATGCAGCATGTATAAAAATATATCCTATTGTTTCCTGAATCTCCTACCATTTAGCTTTTAGTGTTCTTTCCACTGAAAGGAAGAAAACTTTTTTTTTCATTTCTCTGCATCACATTTTATATTTTTTCATTCTGTTTTTGTTATTTACCTTTTTTGGGCCTATCTTTTAATGCCCTGGCCCCATTTCTACAGTAATACACATTTTTCTAGATGTACAATATATGGATGATTGCATCAGTGAAGCCAGGACAGTCAATTCTAAACTGAGCCTAAAGCCATACACACAAGCTCTTTGTCTGGGCTGACACTGAGAAAGAAATGCTTGCATATTTTGTATTTGAGAAGCCAAATACTATATCTTAGGTTATCTAAGGTTTGATGAATATTCAATGAATGATCCAGTGTGATACTCATTTTGTCTCTGTCTCTTAGCCCTGAACATACTCATGATTCTAATGTTTAGACTAAGGTATAAATCTACCTTCCTAGGCTCTCCTTTCTGAAAAGCTTTGAGACTTATATTTTCCCTCACACAATGGGATAGGGTGAGATTGACAGAGGACTTACTGATGACTGCAAGTGAAAGTTTAATTTTGGTGCCAGGTTTTAATGTTTGTGATTTTAATAGATATATGTATGTATTAATGGTATATTGATATTCCTTTAACTTCTTTTTGGGAGCTGCCCAAAGTTCAATATAAGATGTGCAGTTACATAAATATTTTAAATAAATAAATATAGAATGCTGCCAATGATAATTTTTGTTCTGATAGATGGTTTTCCAACCAGATTTAGTTGTAGACAAAGTTACATGTCCAGATCTGCATATCCAATCATGATAGCCCATCACCCAGAATGTGTTCCTCCATTTCAAAAAATCTCCTTCATGAATTATATCCTTTAAAAAACCTTCATATGAATAAATAGGCCATAAGGCGTTACTCCAAAATCATGTGTCTTTCCATTTCTGCCACTTATCACAGAGCATGGAGATCTTTGGAGAAAGCCTGCATGGAGACATCAATAGACTTCCTATGTTTGATCTTTAGTTCAGTGCAGGGATAGTGTCCTTCTACTCGTGAAAGGGACTTGTCTGGCAATTCATTTTAATTTACCTCTCAAAATTAGATGTTGTGCCAAAAGAAAAGTTAAGCTTAACACTTTTCAAGAAACTCAGAAAAGATAGCTTCCTAAATAATTAGAAGGTCAATAAGGGCATGGAGGTACAGAGTTTTTGTCAGAGATGAAAAGCAATAAGAAATTGTAAGAAATATTCATTTAGAGTTTAGTAAGGCAGAACAAAGAGTTGATTCTTAATCAGGAAGTACATAAGTATTTGTGTATATGTGTAGGGGTTTTACTGTTCCTAGAATTTGGCTGTTGCTGCTAGGTTGATATGACATTTCTGTGCTTCAGTTTATTTCTTTTCCCCAAATCAAAAAAGAAGTTGGACAATAATTTGTGATTATATTGAGAGTAATACAAGGACAAAATGCAAAAAATAATTGGCCTCCTCTCAGCTACTTCTTAGAGAAACAAAAAAATCTCATCTCTCCTTCAGTTAGTACCAAAAGGAAATAAAATGGTTTATATTTCCCAAATCCTCCTGTACATATGTTTTTCAAATATATTTCATTTGACTGCTAATAACTAAATTCCAAGCCATTCCTATAAAGAAGAGCTGCAAAGTCATCAAGCTAGGTTTTCCCTACCTGCTAGGGCAGTTAAAGCTCCTGAATTAGTGCAGAGAACTCCAGTGAAAGAGTTTACTCTTAGGCAGCAGTCAAAGTGCTGCAAGTCAAGTACTCAAGGTCATCTTTAAGAGAAACAGCTCCATGAGGGTCCCCATACTGATCCGGTGCTGTCAACATCATACTTGGAAGGTGGAGGAAAGAAAAAAATGTTGGGATTTAGAAACCAAGAGTGATTTCTGAAGTGATTGAGCTGCAAAAAGTAAGATAAGGGCATACATGTTAGAAATGAATAATTATCAACAGATGTTAGAACCCAATTTATTAGGAACATGGAAAGAAAGAAATCACAGATGATAAAGGTTATTAGAAAGAGCAAGTTTATAATTATTTGCAGACCCATTATGTAAGGGAAGGAAAATTTATCACTTAAAAAAATCTTTTCAGCATTCAGCCAGGTTGGATTTTTTTTTCTATGTTTAATATTGTACTTATTTGATGTTTGGGTCATTTCCCCCCTCCCCCCCCTTTATTTTTTGTACAAATTTTGTTGTTATTGTTGGATGTATGTTTTTTTCTATTTTTTTCCTGTTTTGTATTTTATTCCATTGATAAAACTATATCTATATCTATATCTATATCTATATCTATATCTATATCTATATCTATCTATCTATCTATCTATCTATCTATCTATCTATCTATCGGAATATAAATATATATATATATAAAAGGAAAGAGCAAAAGCAAGTAGCAAGTAGGCCCAGTCCCTGTACTTCGGAGGGACTTACAAAGGTGCCCTGTACTGAGTCAGCACAGGCGTTCAGGGTTAGCCAGGCCGCGAGGTGAGAGCCAAGGAGCAACAGGGCAGATCTCTTCTGCCCTGCGCCCAGCTCCCTCACCCCACCCAGGCGGCAGCGAGAGGTACCGGCCCTCTTCCACTCTCAACGCCTCAGGAGCGGTTTCACCTGTGGCTTGGGATCTCCACGCCCGCGGCTCACTTAAGGCCGGCTTGGCTCTTCAGCGTGCGCCCACAGTTTCATCTCGTCGCCAAGTTGCCGCCTCAGTGGAGGCAGCAGAGCGGCGAGGAGCCGTGGGGGGAGGGGAAGGCTGGCGCCGATTCCCGCTGCAGAGGGAAAGAGAGGCGGAGGTGGGCGCAATCGGGACGAAGCGTCCGGGCGAAACGGCTCGTGGGTGCCTCCGCGGCAATCCATGGACGCCGTCCCCGGCCGGCAGAACTCTCCTGGGGGGGAAAGGAAGAAGAGGAGGAGGAGGAGGAGGAGGAACCCCTCGGAGCCCCCCCCCGCGGCCGCATCTCGTCGGTGCCGTGAGCAGCAAAGCTGAGGCTCTGCACGGCGAGGCGGGCGGGCGGCCGACCGGGCGCGCGCACGGGTGGGGGAGGAGAAGCCCTCCTCCGCCTTCTCCACAGGAGCTTCGCGGCGCTACCGGCAGGGGGGACGTGCCGGAGGAGGAGAAAGGGGACGCTCGCCTCCGCCTCTTCCTCAGCGGCTCTCGGGCAGCCGGAACCGCACGCGGCGGCGGCGACGGCTGCAGCGGCGGCGGCGAGGGAGCCGGGAGCGGAGGGATGTGGGGCTTTGGGGGAAGCAGGCTCTTCGGCTTCTTCTCCGCTCCCGTCCTGGTGGCCGTGGTCTGTTGCGCCCAGAGGTAGGAGCAGCGGCTGGCGGGGAGGAGGGAGGGAGAAGCAAGGAGGGCTGCGCCTCGCTGAGGAAAAGAACTGACCAGAGCTTTCCTACAACCCCTGTGCCTTCCTCACTCCTCCTGCTCCGCTGTCTCTGCCTCCTTTCGACTTCTTTTTCCTCGCCTTCTCTTGTCCCGGCCGCTCTCTTTGGCCCATCCCGTTACTTCACTTTCCCTATCCCTCTGCCATCTCTTCCGCCTTCTCTCATCTCCCGGCTCAATGCCCGCCTTCCCTGATTCCCTGCCCGCTTTCCCCTCAAACCTCCTTCTTCTTCCACAGTGTGAACGATCCGGGGAATATGTCCTTCGTGAAAGAAACGGTGGATAAATTGTTGAAAGGCTACGACATTCGCCTCAGACCGGATTTTGGAGGTGAGAGGCCCTGGGGAGGCTCCCCCTACTCCCTTAGGGGTGCTGGGTGTGAGTTAAATGGGTTGGGGGTGAGGGTTCTGCCGAGGATAGTCCCCCAAGCCCTGGGCGCCAGGCAACCGCATGTCAAAATGACGCCGCCGTCTGTTTCCTTCATTAAGGCCCCCCAGTGAATGTCGGGATGAACATAGATATTGCCAGTATCGACAAGGTCTCTGAAGTCAACATGGTGAGTAGACCTCTAGTTATTTCCATCTGGAAATGAGAAAGTGTTGCCTTCAAATGGATGGATTTTAGCCTATTCTGAATTTTGTCTTGGTAGCTCAAGTGCAGAATGTTTGTTTGTTTGTTTTTAATTTTAATTTGAGGGAGCTGAAACAGGTTGAAGAAGGGGCCCTTTAGATAACAGAGCCCCAGATGAAAGAGCTTTTGGCAAAACACCTCCACTGTATCTCCTTCAGTGACTGGAAAGTTTGTGCATGAGTCTAAAGCAAACCAGGTCAGTAGATAACCTGAGGTTTATTGGTCCCTTGTCTACAATCTAGTGTACCATGATGGTTTTAGATGGTATATTTCCTCTGTTGAGATAGACCTTTTCTTGATTTGGGAAGTTATAATGCAGCAAAATCAAGTGTAATGGCTGGCTTGGGTGTGCCATATGCAGTTAGCTTTTGGATGGCAGCAGAATGGACTGCATGCTGAAGCTACTGGAGGGAATATAGCCAGATTTCAGAGCGCTGTCTCAGGTGCTGAAATGGAACTTCAGTTGTGTAGATGCATGTCATTCTCACTGCTTGCAGATGTCATTACAGAGTTCTACTGCTTGTATTGATGTGAAAGCTTTGCATAAAAAGCCAGTCTCTCCTCCAATGAAGATTGCTAACATATAGTTAACTAGGTTAGCAATTTAAGTGTACTTCACTTTCATTTTGTCATGTACATAAGCATATACATGCCTACTCCAAAGCAAGTTGCAGTGATTTCGGTAGGTCTTTAGTGTTGGATAAGTTTTAATCCCTTATTTGAAACAAGAATTGTATTAGATTTATTTTACTAACAAAAAAGAATACGTGTGTGTGTGTGTAGGGGAAAATGGTATATGCATAAAACAGTATATTAACTGCACTGTATACTCTTAAGGTACAACTTTAATTTGTTAATAGGGAATCTAAACTGGTTTAGAAAATATTTAGAATATATTTTAAAAAATCACAAGGTTTAACTATATAAAACACAATGTAATTTACTTTGTTTACTTTTTCTTTAATTCTCATTTTATACAGTTATTTTTAATGGCAGGGATACTATATTTCCCAGTGCTTGAAATAATATAAGTAGAAATAACATACATAAAGGTCCTCTCTCTTTCACATGCCCAATTTTCAAAAATATAACAAATATTCAGAAATTTGTCAATCTACAATTCTTCAAGAAACATAATGCACAGTCTGCTATAAATCTGGATTAAATTAACAATTTTTCTATTTTAACATTTATATAAATAATATTTATAGTATTGTTGTTTGAGTCACTGCTCCAAAAGTATACATTTTAAAATTTATCTGAAAACTTAAAGGTATATTTTGTGGAAAGGAAACATGATAAACAATGTCAGCCCATTAATGGTTACTAAGTAAAGAAAGACAGATGATTGATATATGTACTTTTTAAGACTTTAAATGATCTGTGACCTTAAGAGTCTGACATTTAATAACAAAGTTTAAATTTCTGTGTTTCCATGATTCTTAAAAACATTACATGTGAATTAAAAAAGAAGGCAGATTTTTTTTTCTTATTTAACTGACAGTGACTTTTAATAAGAGATCAAGACATAGTTTTTCTGTCTGAAAAAGAAAAGTACTTAACCAAATTTATTTTAGAATGGGGACCCTTTTAAATGGGATGGGATAAACACTGGGAGCCAGAATCACTCAATTGTTCTACTCTACTCATTATCCATCTGCAAGAACTGCCTGTTCCTCTAATTTTAATCAAGTTATTTCTACTTAAATATGTATAAACAACCTAAAGTTCTAATAACATCTATTTTATTTTATTCTCAAAAACATTAGTGTATATCTTAACTTATATTTCTTTAAAATATTGGGAAAGCACTTATTGAAATATCCACTTCACAATATTGGAGTACATAAAACATTGTGCTACCATTCAGATCTAAAAAAAAGATTTTATACTTTTAACTGCTTTCATAGCAGAGAATAGCACTATCTTAGCACACATTTTACTACACTATATTTATTATGATAATGCAATTCAGAAGTAAAAAAGCAACTAAGGGAAAGAAAATAGTTAACAGTAGAAGTACTTAGATTTTTCTAACAACCACAAAATCTTGCATAAAAAAAGCTTTTCCAAAAGTTTTTTTTCTTCTAGGTTCTGGGGACAGCTAGACAAAGAATTAAAGCCTGCTGAGGAATTAAGTAAAAATTGATGGGTAGCAAAGTTAAATGTTTTCTTCTGCTGATGACTCTTGTATAATTGCCACAAACCCTCAACCGTTTGAAATTCTGTGTCTCCTTTTCTTAGTTCCATTAGCAAATTTAGAGAGCTTTTTTTTTTAAAAAAAATCTAAATATAATAGTTCAATGAAACAAAATATTGTACATTGTCATTCTGTGGATAAATATACAGCTTTCATTAGATTGAGTTTCATTCTTTCTTGAGATATTTGATTCTTGATTCAAGGTTGGTTGCAAATTTACTGGCAATGGAAAGACTAAGAATGCATTATAACAAGCTCTGGCTAGTATATCAGCTGTGTTCCCTTTTTAAATTTATTCTTTTGATTTGCTGAGATCAGTTATGTATTAACAATATCCAGATTCAGCATGGAGGGACTGACCCTGTAATGATAGCCTGACCTGAAATGTTACTGCAGAGGTCTCCAAACTTGGCAACTTTCAGACTTGTGGACTTCAACTCCCAGAATTCCTCAGCCAGCTAATTTTGGGAGTTGAAGTCCACAAGTCTTAAAGTTGCCACATTTGGAGACCTCTGTGTTAGTGGATCAAAAACGATGTAGCTTGAGTGTTCTCTGAGGATGGCTGATAAAAACATATATTGCATGCTACATAATCACTTACTTCTATATACAGTATTTGACTATCCTTTAGAATATTGGTTTTTACATTAAAACACTAAGCTTCTGGAAACTTATCTCTTTTAAATTTCCTATCAGAGATCCTAATTCATTCTTGTCCATTTTGGGTTGTTAGGATAAGTCGAATGGATAGAAGCTTGTCAACTGATATGCCAATATTATGGAATATCTTCTTTTAAAAATATGTCTGTTTCCTTACATATGTTTCTTCTGTTGCTGACTGACATGTAAAGCCCTGTATGTGTATATTTGAGGGGGAGCAGATGGTTTAACTTTTTCCCCACCGCTTCCTTGGAAAATGTATGTTCTGTTTTCTCTCTTAATTACTCTAGAGTGCTTATCTTTATTTTTATTAGCTGTTAGCTTCTTTACATGAAAAATGCTGAGTAGGAAAATAATAATCACAATAGCAATAGATGTTCTGAGGAAAATATTTGATGATTAGTAAGACTTTACTTAAATCTACAAATCAGGATATGGTAATCCATCTGTGATTATGGGTATAATTATATTAAGGTCACTCTGTTACTAAGAAATTTTCTTCTTCCACATTCACAGACTCATGTTGTTTGCAGTGGTCCATTCAATATGTATTTTTTTAAAAAACCTAATATATGGTTCCCTTTAAATGTATCAATTTTCTACTTCACCTAGGGCCATGATTCTCAGATTTCTACTGACAAACCAAAGAAGACAAATCAAAGATTGTTCAATACATTGGAAAACATTATATGAAAGTTAAAGATGTACAAATATGTTTTCAAGGCTTTTGGCTCAATTCTACTTTGTCCTATAGTTTCTTGATATAGTCTCTATAATGCTATTATTATGTTGGTTATCTGTTAGCTTTATTTTATTTTATTTTCAGATGTGTGCCTCTGATACTGTTACTTTTTTTATAATTCCTAGTATTCTTGGTATTTAGAATGCTGATTGTGATCCCTGGGAATTGCAGTGGAAGACCATATCTTGTTTATTCTTGGTCTACAAAGTTACGCATTAAAAGAACTATGCTGAATCAGATCAAAGACCCTAGTATGTTTCTGTTTCCACCATGACCAACACAATACCAATATATCAACAGAACCTGAGTGAAATAGCACATTTCCACACATATTCTCCTGAAAGTGATATCAAAATATCTGAGTCCTGTTTCTAGAGGAAATATGTAAGTGTTCTGAATAGCAGCTATTCATAGCCTTATCTTTTATAAAGTTGCTTAAATCTAAATATGCCTGTGCTAGTTTACATGAATTAAATTAAATTCTTCAAACTAAAGCCAGCATGCTGTTGCTGTCATTCCACCATCTGGGAGAATACATATCGTGTACTGACATAAATTGTTGCCTGGTATGCTTTCTAAACTTGTCTCTAGAATCTTTTCCTATTGTATCATGCAATTTATACTGTAACTTAGAATAAATATTCATTATATTGCCATTCTACCTTTTTTCAGGAGATCAGGGAAACATATATGGGCAACTCTGTTAAGTTTAGCCCTACAATGTCAGGTAAGGTAGGGTATGCTTGTGAGGTAGGGTATGCTATGAGTCACCCAAAGAGGTCTTCTCAAGCCTAGTCTTTGTCAGACAACTGCTGTTTAATCACATTCGTTCATCAGATGTTACTTGAATTTTGTGAGCACCTAATTCATTAAACTAGGCCACATAATAAAATAACTATCTAAAATAATGAATGCAAACATGGTACAAGCCCAGAGCATATATTCTAACTAGTTTTCCATCAACTTAATTGATCTCTTGACAGCTAAAAATACTGATTGAAATTTCCAGTGCAAAAGGATGCTTGTTTTATGTTAGGTAATCAAATTAATTGGCTCACTTCTTAGTCCAAAATGATGATCATATAACAGCAAAAACACAAAATTTTCCATTTAATTTCTAGGCAGAAATTAGGATAGGTTGAAACTATTTGGTATGATACCCTGAATACATTCAGATCTTTTGCAATGGTCAATTTAATATAGATCTGGAGAAGTATTTGGAAAAATGGAGCAACGTGCTCTTAAAATCTAGCCAAGGAAACACTAGCATAATTTTTAGCCTTGGAGCACAATTTGTAAGTAAGCTACAGAGCTATGATGAGTG